CCAAACTGTACTTTTTAAAAATTTAATATATTTTATTTTATATAATTCTTACATCATTTTTCATTTTTGCACAATGTACGCATTTTCATTTTGGTTATATTCCCCATACAATTCCACCCCCCCTTATTTTGACCCTAATCCTTCCTATCCTCCCCTCCCCAAACAGTACTTCTTAAGGATCCCTAGGTGGTGCTAGTTTGCAGCCGAAGTTTAGGAAAAAGTCTTCCTTGTTCTGACACCCTCTTTCACACACTTCCACTTAAAATGGCAGTTGGCACTTTAAGTGTCACCACCTCCTGGAAGCCTTCCTGGAACACATACAGCCGAGCAACTGCTCTTCCTCCATCTTGACACTTACCACGCTATGTGATTGCCTTTTTACATGTCTGTCCCTACCCCGCCCCTCCAACCTTACATCTACCCCTTTCTCAAGTGAGAGAATAGACTGCTCCATGTTGTGCAAAACATGAATGGAACTACTTACAATAACAGGAGAGGAGATTTTATTAATAGGATTTTAATTTTGCCCCAGGTTTTTTTTTCTTTCCTCAGCTTCTTCTTTGGTTAGTGTTTGAGGCATACAGAAATACACTTCCTCTCAAATGCTAATGTAGATGCAAAGGTATCTGTATTATTAAAGCCAATTTCTAACCTGATTTCTGTTTCAAATTCCCAAAATTATAGCTAATATCTACCCAGGGACCTTGAGACTAATAAAATAACCCAAATGTTTCTGGTTTTATAGAAAAAGGAAACCCAAATCACAATTTTTAACCAAGAAGTAAAACTAGAGATCTGGTAGACTGAGTTGATCTCCAATTGTCTGTTGGGGGGCTTCTGCCTGAGTTGGGGGTGTGGGAGCAGACACTCGGCCTATCCTGGGAGGCTGGAGGCCATCTTTGTCCCCTCCTTACTGAGTACAGGTCTGTGCCCCATGTTACAAAGGAAGAAACCCAGACTTAAAGGTTAAATGCACCACTGAGGATCTTATCAGGAATTACAGGAGAGGCACGATCCAAACTTAGCCTGGCCTGACATGCATATTCTTTCTGCTTTATCAGGATGGGCCCAAGTTCCCAAATTTGCTTTCCCTTCACTCTTTTTTTTTTTTTTTTAGATTTATTTATTTATTTATTTATTTATTTATTTATTTATTTATTTATACAAGCACTGGGTACAGTCAGAAGCGCGGGAGGGTGAGAGAATTCACCAGAGTCAGAGCAGGATGCAGAGCAGGCCGAAACGCTGCAGAGTAGCACTGCTGCCAGGGGAGCAGCGGGTGGGGTCAGGAGAGGTCGCGCCAGGCAGGGACCCTCCTCCGGGGGCCGGGGAGCGCGCCGGGGATTGAGCCTGCGCTGCAGAGGCTGCGGGCAGCTTCGCAACCCCGCGCTCAACCGCTGCGCCACCGGGGAAGCCCTTTCCCTTCACTCTTGAGAAAATATTTTAAATTTAATTTTATCAAAGTAATACATTTCTATGGCTTAAGAAGTCAATCAATGCCATAGTGTGTAACCAAAAGGAAAAAAAAAAAAACGTGGCTCTTGGGCCTCCCCAGTTGTGCAGCAGTTGAGCGCTGGGTTGCAAAGCTGCCCACAGCTTCTGCAATGCCAGTTCAATCCCAGCCACTGGGCGAGGGTCCCACATGGCGTGCAGACACCTCCTGCCGCCTGCTGCTCCCCTCAGCAGTGTACTTCATCAGTCTGCCTGCTCTGCTCTGCTCTCTGCTCTGCCTCTGGTGAATTCTCTCACCCTCCCACGCTTCTGACTGTACCCAGTGCTTGCATGAATAAATAAAATAAAAATCTTTAAAAAAAAAAAAAAGTGGCTCTTAGTAAAACTTTCCTAGTCTCAATTTCTGGCCTCTGGAGGTAACTAATTTCCACTCTTTTAGCTATTTCTCTGGAATTTATGTCTATAAGTCTTAATAATATAAAGACACTACTATTTTTAACTTGTAGATTTAAGTTATTATCCTTTTGCTGCTTTTGAGTAATGGGATATATTTGGCTAATCTTTTTTTCTGATTCTCAAATTGAAAGAAGTTATACATTTCAGCCTGCCATTTTAAATAAAAAAGAAATTTAAGGGCCTCCCTGGTGGTGCAGGTGGTTGGGCCCAGCACTGTGAAGCTACCCACAGCCTCTACAGTGCAGGTGCGATCCCAGCCAGCCGTGGAGATACCCACATGGTGCGGCAGACCTCTCCTGTCTCGCCTGCTGTCCCCTCAGCAATGTATTTCAGTCAATCTGCCTGTTCTGTTCCCCGCTCCATCTCTGGTGAATCCTCTCACCCTCCTGCACATCTGGCCTGTACCCCGGTTCTTGTATAAATAAATAAATCTTTTTTTAAAAAAAGAAATTCAAGGCCAAAATGTTTTCTTTAGGTATAATATTACTACAACTACCAGATTTCATTTTATTTTTTCAAAGATTTATTTATGCATGCAAGAATTGTGGTATAGGCCAGAGGTGCAGGGTACCAGAGACAGAGTGGGGAGCAGAACAGGTAGATCTACTGAAATGCACTGCTGAGGGGAGCAGCCAGGGATTGAAATCATGTCTCATGCCACAGTGCTTGCAGGTAGCTTGACAGTGATAGCTTGATAGTGCTGAGACTTAACCCCTGTGCCACCAGGGAAGCCCCAACTATTAGATTTTAAATGTATTCTTTACATCATTATTTTTTTTTTAAATCTGTTATTTTAATTGCAGTTTTCTCATTCATCTAACTTATGTTTGAGGAATATCTCAAAAGTTCCAAACAGTAGAGGGAATTTTCAGGTCAAGTTTTTGTTGATTTCTAGTTTTATGGTATGTGATGAGCGTATGTTCCTTATAAAGTCTTTGCTTTTCAAAATTTGTTCAAGTTTCCTCTGTAACCAAATACATAGCTAATTTTGGTGAATTTTCTAGGGTTATGTTTATTTCTGATCTTAAAAATTGTAAACGTGGGGCCTCCCTGGTGGTGCAGCGGTTGAGCGCTGGGTTGCGAAGCTGCCCGCGGCCTCTGCAGCGCCGGTTCGATCCCCGGCTGCTCCCCGGCCACCGGAGGAGGGTCCCACATGGCGCGCAGACCTCTCCTGCCGCCCGCTGCTCCCCTCGGCAGTGTGCTTCGGTCCTTCTGCCTGCTCTGTTCCCCGCTCTGGCTCTGGTGAATTCTCTCACCCTCCCGCGCTTCTGACTGTACCCAGTGCATGTATAAACAAAACAAACAAACAAACAAATAAATAAATAAAACATGCCTCTATAAATAAAAAAAAAAAATAAAAAAAAAAATTGTAAACGTACCTATTAAACTGAGCTTGTTGTTATATTGCTCAATTATCTCTATGAGACTATTATTGACTTCTTTGATATTAAGTTTTTTTAAAAGTATATTAAAATGCCCAATAATACCTTTTTATTAAATTTATTTGTAATTGAATAATTACAAATTATTGGAATTGAATGCTGTGTTATTTTGGTGCATAAAGGTTAGTAGTGTTTACACAGATTTTTCAGTCACTTATTATACTCTCTCATCTTGTTTTCTGTTTTTCAGTTTTGTATGTCACATTGATGTTATGCTGTGACTTTTGATATCTTTTTCCTTGAATTTGCCTCACATTTCTGTGTATTCCTTTTTAACTTTTCCTGTTCACTTTTTGGGGTATGTTACACGTAACAATATATGGCTAGATTTTTTTCAATACAACTGAAAATCTCTCTCCCCCCCTTTTTTTCTAGAAGCATGAACCCATTCACACTTAGTGCTGTAATTGAAATACTTTCATTCCTCCCATCATATTTTATATTTACACTTTATTTTGTGCAGTGTGATACTTACCTCCTTATCGTTTTCTTCATGGTCAAATTTTAGAAGCCCTGCTAAAGCATTTCTAGTAGCCATAACTAAACCTTTGTTACTCTAATTACATCTAACAATTAAATAATGCCACCCCCTCTAGGAAGACACTTTCCTACCTCTCTTTTGTGGGATAAATAAAATTTTTGAAAAGCTTTGTTTTCCCCATGTTCGTCTTGCCACCTAAACTTCTATGTTTTGCTGAGATCATTTAATGTATTTAGTCCTGAGCTGTTTTTAAATGTAGATATTTAATATTTAAATATTTAATATTTAAAAAGAGTTTTCACTTAAAATTTTATTATAAAACATATCCAATCATGTTTTCATCATCCCTTTAGATCTCACTATCTATTCCTCACCACTGTCCTTTCCGCCATCTTGAGATTTTTGCTCTGATTTAAATTGCCATTTAGTTAGAGTGTCTTCTGAGGATTCTAGTCATGTATAATAATTACATTGAAAGTATTCTTTGAGACCTTACATATCCAAGGATATTTTTCTTTTGTCTTCTAAGTGAATGATATTGTGGCAGATTCTTAGATTATGGTTATTTCCTCCCAATAATCTATTGGTATGGTTTTCTTGTCTTCCAAACTCAGGAGCTAAAAATCCAATGTTTGTCTGATATTTTTCTTTTGTCTTCTAAGTGAATGATATTGTGGCAGATTCTTAGATTATGGTTATTTCCTCCCAATAATCTATTGGTATGGTTTTCTTGTCTTCCAAACTCAGGAGCTAAAAATCCAATGTTTGTCTGATATTCCTTTAAGGAACTTGCTCTTTCTGTTGGAAGATTGTAGCTTTTCCTTTTTTTACTTTGGAATTCAGGAATTTGCCGGTGTGTACAAAATGTATAAAAGAGTATCAGTTTTGGGCCTCCCTGGTGGCACAAGGGGTTAAGACACAACCTATGAAGCTATCCACAGCCTCTGCAGCATGAGTTCGATCCCCAGCCAGGGAGTTACCCACATGGCGCAGCAGACCTCTCCTGACTCGCCCACTGCTCCCCTCAGCAGTGTATTTCAGCCGATCTGCCTATTCTTTTCCCCACTCTGTCTCTGGTGGATCCTCTCACCCCCCAACACCTCTAGCCTACACTCCAGCTCTTGTATGCATAAATAAATAAATCTAAAAAAAAAAAGAGTATCAGTTTTAATATGGTACTAAATGAGACCTTCCAATTTGAAAGCTGCTTTTCTTCACCAAGGGCTTTTTTCTTTAACTCCTTTAATTTTTCATTCTCACATTACATAGGAATGGTTTCCGGTTCAAGTAACAGAAAACTTGAGTAAAGAATGGTTTGAATAAATAGGTACTTGTTTTTCTCGCTGAACACGATCACAAGCAGGCAGCACTGGCTTTGGTTCAGTTTTTGGACAACATCCGGGTTTGGACTGGCATCTCTTCAATCCTCTTAAACTTTCCTTGGGGTCACAGGATGGCTGCTGCAGCTCCAGGGACCAGGTTTGCATTCAAGGTAGGAAAAAGGAAGAAAAAAGTGCTGCACCAATTGCATATTCATTCAGTGCACCCCTCCCCCCCCAAAAAAAATCTTTCTGGATGCTTATACCTCATGGTCCAGAACTATGTCATGCAGCAGGAGAGCCAGTAATGAGTGGTACTTCACACCTGCAACCTCCTTAGTTAGTCAGAGAAGGGAGGAGAGTGCTCCCTCCAGGCTTCCTGATTGTGTTCTCCAGAGAGTGAGTGAACTGGTGAGATTGGGGGCGTGTGTATGTGTGTGCAACCACAGTATATGTTGACTCAAGGCACTTTTAGGATTCACTTGAGCTAAATCCAAAAAGGTTTTGCTTTTGTTTAATAGCTGGGTACTTTCTATACAAATGATTGTTCATCCAGGTGTGACTAATCTGTTTGCTAAAACAGACCTAGTGGGATTTCTCTGGAAGCACTCAGCCTGTAGCTTGAATTAGATTTGTGGTTTCCAACAATGGGCTATGACTAGCATTACAACAAAAGAGTATAGGAAATGTAAGATGCATCATGCTGCAAGGGTGAGCTTGCTCAGCAGCTTGAGCTTAGTTGTGTGTTTTGTATAGTGTATTTTATTATTATGTATTTCAACATCTCTGGATAATGTTAAAAAAATCTATGAGCAATGTTGAATTAGAGGATATTTTGGGAGAGCTAATTTGTTTCAACAAGAGTGTTAAATCAGAGAATTAGATCATTTAAGGAATCCCATGACTTCTTCCACCCAGCTACTTTAATTACCAAATCACCTCACAGCATTTAAAAGTCTGGAATTAACTAAGGAGTAGCCTAAACTCAGTGGTCTTTCCCCAACTTTTCCCACTTGACCCTCCAGAAGTCCAGACCAGCCTGCTTTTCTGCAGTCATTTCGAAATACTCAAGGCTCTTTGCTGGGATCGAAAGTGAGAAAACCCCATTCCAGTATTTGGGGGGGTGAGGGGAGCGGAGCTTGAAGATGCAGAGTAGAAGGAGGTAGGAGGTAGAAACTAACTCCAGGTACTAGTTTCTACCCAGATCCCAAAAGGCTGTGTGACTTTGGGTAAAAACCCCGAGACAAAGTCTCCTCAAGTCTAAAACAGGAAGAATTCTCCCAGTCCTGTTTCCCACGCAAAGCTATTCTCGACCCATGGGGGGGGGGGCGGGGAACCAGTTCTGTTGACACATGTTTGTAAACAGAAAATGGTCACTTTGCTGTTGGGAGGACTTCTGTTTTTCTGAACAGGGCAGAAAGGGGCTTGGGTTCGCAAGACAGAGCGCAGGTGCCCTGGCTGGGCTGAGCGCCTCAGCAAACAGAAAGAGGAAGTCGAAAGGCCTGAGGGAAAATACAGGAAGTAAGAGGAGTCAGAAAGTCCAGGAGAAGAGAACGGCCCCTCCCAACAAATGTCTCATCAAATCCCCGGGTGAGTGGAGGCCTGAGAAAGGACAGACTCTTCAGCCTGAAATGGCCAAAGGGACAGCGGACTGTGACTTCCATGTGCCAGACGCCCTACCAGTCAGCCACTCAGGTACCTGGTGGTCAAGATGTTTCTTCCTCATGGAGTCAACAATCCAGTGTGAGAGAGGGGTGATTTCTAAATTGATCAGGGGGTGGGAAGTGCTCTGAAATGTGGGAGAAAGCACTTTGCAAGATGTACACTGTGAAGTTCCACCCTTATAAGGGGGTCCCATAGCAACCAGCTGGGGTCCCATAGCAACCAGCACATGCCGGATGCTGTGGTTTGTTAATGTTCATGGCAGAGATGAGCAGATCCATGTATTTTCTGTAAAAGCCTTCCATCCCTTCCTCAATAGCTACAGGATCCTGACCAGACTTCACTTGTGTCCCTCAGACCCCTGTTCTTCATACCCTCAAACTGCCCTGGAAGCCCAGCAGGCTCCTTGAGGCTCCCCTTCCCCAGCAGCACCCAGTCTACTTTGAAGCAGCTACTCTGCCTTTGCAAGTAAGGGATGAGGCTCCTGCTGTGGCCATGAGGTCCAGGCACCCCACTGCTCCCAGTGCGTTGTGCAGGCCTGACCATTACCACATCCATCGGGGTGTCCCCAGGCTGTTTTCTCTAAATGCCTGGCTGAGCCCCTACCAAGCCAAGCCCAGCCCTACTCCAAGACCCTTCCTCTGTCGAAGCTCCGTGAGACAAGAATGGATTGTCCTCAGCTCGAAGGGCTCCTCCCTGTGGGGATGAGAGAGGGAAAGTCATTTCCTCAGCCTGTCAGCCCTTGGCCATCATCTGTTTAAATGAACTTATTACTTGATTGGAAAATATGCAAAGGATAAAACCAAGAAATTTATAGAACCAGACATGGCTAATCGACATGTAAAATACACTAGACCTCAGTAATCACCAAGGACATGCAAAGTAAAATAAGAGAACATTTTTCTTTTGAAAACACTTTTTTGGGCAATAGAGCACACATGGAGAAAAAGACTCCAAGCACACACCCACCGGTGAGCTGCTGGCCTCCGGTAGCTCGAGTTTCTGTCCATTCACAAGGGGCTTGGTCACAACGATGTCTAAGATTCAGCTTTGATACACCTTGAATCACCAAGTCTTGGTTTACTGCTAAGTCCTTCTGTGACCTGGGGGAGTGTTTTAACTTGTCTCCCTTCATTTTGGGGCATACGAACACCTACCAACCTGCCTCACAGCACTGGTGAGGGGGCTCCAAGAAGTTGTGAAGGAGAAAGCCAGCCAGAGCACAGGTGTCAAGCACAGACCTGTGCTTGTCAAGAAAGGGACATGCCCTGGTGGTCTCTGAGGCCTTGCCCTGCTCCACAGCCAGAGGAGCTTGGCGAGTCCCCTTTGGGCTGGACAGATGCGTGTCAGCTGCGGGCAGATTTGACTCAGTTATAAGGACCTGCTTTGTTTCCGGTACCATACTTGATGATTCCACTTGGTTACCTTGAGGATTCCCATTTAGCTCTTGAAGGGTAGCCTTTCACAGATAGCATCTGTGCCCTGAGAGGGTAAGTAACGTTTCCCCACACTTGGCTGGCATGTGTAATCCCCCTCCTTCCTATGCTCTGATTATGGATCAAACATTTTTCACAACCCTGCACTGCATTAGAGGGCTTAGCTCATCCTCAGTAGGTCCCATTGGTCCTGGGTCTATCCCGAGAACTCCCCTGGAATGAGCTTCTTCCTGTCCCCCGTGACACCCTCCCCATGGCTGTAGACACTGGTCCTTTCCCCTGAGTCTTCCCTTCCCACTTCTCTGGCTTTTTGTCAGAGGGCACAGGCGTGAGGCCCTCTCATCCGGGCTCCTCCCCTCTGAACACCTGTGTGAGAGCAGGAAGGCTGGCGCGGAGGGTGACCTTATCTGGGGAAGATAAGGTTGTACAGTTAAATATAGTTGAGAAAGGCTGCACGACCTCCTTTCTCCTGAGACACACAATGTCCATTCTCATGGAAAAGGCTCTGAAGTTCTGCAACATTTCCTAAACTTATCTGACAAATCATTTTTGTATCAAAAGATTTAAAATTTCATGGAACTACTGTTTTTCAGTAACCTACAATAACTATGTAAAGTTTCAACTCTAACCAGTATGGAATTCTTATTATTTGAAGTGAGACTGTTCTTCCTGTTTGCTTTTTTTTTTTTAATTGACAATTTTATTTATTTTTTTAAAGATTTGTTTATTTATGCATACAAGAACTGGGGTACAGGCCAGAGGTGTGGGGGTTGAGGGGATTCACCAGAGGCACAGAGGGGAACAGAACAGGCAGCCTGAAACACACTGCTGAGGGGAGCAGCGGGCAAGACAGGAGAGGTCTGCTGCGCCATGTGGGTAGCTCCCTGGCCGGGGATTGAACTCATGATGCAGAGGCTGCGGTTAGCTTCATAGGTTGTGTCTTAACCCATTTCAAAGCCCCCCTGTTTGCTTTTTTATTTCTAAGATTTATTTTTATTTATACAAGAGCTGGGGTACAGGCCAGAGTCGCGGAAGGGTGAGAGTATTCACCAGAGACAGAGCAGGGAGCAGAACAGGCAGATGGACTGAAAGCACTGCTGAGGGGAGCAGCGGGTGAGACAGGAGAGGTCTGCCTCGCCATGTGGGTTTCTCCCATGCCAGTCGGGAATCGAACCGGTGCTGTGGAGGCTGCGGACAGCTTCACAGCACCATGTTCAACCTGCTGCGCCACCGGGGAGGCCCCCTGTTTGCTTTTAAGCCATGTGGTTAACTCACTTCATTCTAGTGTCTTGGGGGCAATGCTACATTCAAGGAGAAACACCTTGTATTTTCTGCTGGATCACACAGCGCTTTAACTTCCCAGTGGAGAAAATTTCGCTTCCTTTGTTGAACTTCAGTTTCTTCATTTTGAAAGTGGGATTCATCACGTGAAAATTTAGAGGTGAAAGCGCACATTTCCGTGCCTGATGCTTAGTAAATAACTGGTAGAGAACAAGTAGAGATCTTTGGAGCCTAAAATGGAATTGGAAGAAGTGACCTCAAATATGAGCCAGAAGATGACCCCAAAGGAGCCATAGAAAGCTTGAAGGACAACTGAAGCCTCCTGTGAAGATAAATATATAGAATGAAAGCACTTGGAGGAAGAACTGGAGGAAGTGGAAAAAAGGGGGCGGGAATTTGTGTTCTTTGTGTTCATGCTTTTTTTTTTTTTTTTTTAATAGAGGCATGCTTTATCCATTTATTTGTTTGTTTTGTTTGCTTGTTTGTTTGGTTATACATGCACTGGGTACAGTCAGAAGCGCGGGAGGGTGAGAGAATTCACCAGAGCCAGAGCAGGGAGCAGAGCAGGCAGAAGGACCGAAGTACACTGCTGAGGGGAGCAGCGGGCGGCAGGAGAGGTCTGCGCACCATGTGGGACCCTCCTCCGGTGGCTGGGGAGCAGCCGGGGATTGAACCGGTGCCCCAGAGGCCGCGGGCAGCTTCGCAACCCAGCGCTCAACCGCTGCGCCACCGGGGAGGCCCGCTTTTTTTTTTTCCCCCATTTTCGACTCTATGAATGTACCAGTTAACTTTTACCGTATAACAAGCCACCCCAGAATTCAGTGCTTTAAAATAACAATCACGTATTCATGATTCTCCAAGTTGACACATTTGGGCTAGGCTCAGCTAGTCATGCTGGACTCGCTTGTGGGGTGATGGGTTGGGCGACCTCAGCAACTTTTACTCACTTGTTTTGTAGTTGGTGGCTGTCAGCCAGGAGTCTTGGTTGAACTTCATGTGGTCTTTCCAGTGGCTAGCTGGGGCTTGTTCTCATGGCTGCAGCATTCCAAAGGGGGATAAAGCGGGTTAGCTGCAGGGTCTCAGAAGCTGTGCACCATTCCACCTCTCTTGCACCATATTCTGTTGGTGAAAAGCAAGTTAGAAGGCCAGTGTAGATTCAAGAGGTGGTGAAGGAGATTCTGCTTCTTGATGGAGAAGCTGCAAGGAGGTCATGACTGTTTCAGTTCCCCACATAGAGGTTAACTCTGGGGTATATGGCCTGGGAGCCTGTTTTGTGGGTTGGAAGGAATTCCACATATGTGCTCCCATAGGCACATGTTTCTGTACCTCCTGGGGAGTCCACACTTTCCTGTGTCTCTACTCGCTGTCTCCACTTCTTCCCTTTCTTCTTTCTCCTTGATCCACTGCAACTGGGCTTTTGTCCCCATCATGCCATTGAAAATACACCTATCAAAGTCATCGGTGAGCCCCATTTTGCAAAGCCCGTGGTCAAAGCCCCATCTTGCAAAGCCTCTGTGCCCCCCACCTGTCCTCTCAGGACACAGCTGAAGCCTCTGCTTTTTTTTTTTTAAACATTTTCTTTTTTTTTTTCTCATAGACTGGGGTCTAGACTAGAGGTGCAGGGGGTGAGAGACCAGAGAAAGAGTGGGGAGCAGAATAGGTAGACTGAGTGAACTACACTGCTGAGGGGAGGAGCAGGCGAGACAGGAGAGGTCTGCTGCGCCTTGTGGGTAGCTCCCTGGCCGGGATAGAATTCCATCATGGTGATAGAGCTGAGACTTAACCCCTAGGCCACCAGGGAGGCCCAATCCTAAGGTTCTTTTCCATAAAAAGTAGTAGTTACTAAAGGTGAAATTTACTTACTTCCCCCTAAATCCTCCTGGCAGGTTGTCATGAAAGCAGATCTCAGAATAAATTCTGCTGCCCTTACAAATATCAATAAAACAAAGATTTATTTGCAAACAGCCACAAAACCGGTTCATCGTTCTGTTTTGTAAAGTCAGGGAAGCGCAGCCCTCCCTCCTGTTAGGTGTTCACCTAACTTGTGTGAAGGGCCCTTGGAGGAAGACCCTTGAGGAAGACAAGCGTGGAGACGCAGGATTCAATGAGTGATGGCTACATCAGGCAAAGAGAACCCGGCGGGACATAAGGTTTTCAAGGACTGAGCCCAGTGCAGCATATCGAAGAGATATTCTTTTACTCTGAACAAGGAGTGGGGTTCTTCTTCTTTGCTTTAGCTAATCTACATATCCTGAATTCTACCAGTTTCATCAGAAGAGATCTCCTTTCGAATATGTTATGCTAATTAATAAGCTGCCCTAATGCATCCATTTGTGAACTTCACGGATGCCTTCATTACAGTGTTCTGTGTGCTAATCAGTAAAGCTTCAGGTGCATTGAGACGTGAGCTGCAGAGGCTTGCTGAGCTCCCTATGTGTGGAGCTCTTGTGTGCACCTCTTATTAACTCCCAGGCTCAGGTTGGTAACTTGACATCAGATAGGGGAGAAGTATTTAGATGACGTAGAGCTGTATCAGGGTCCTCCTTGCTTCCTTCCCAGCAGGAAGCCAGTTATTAAACATTCACTAGCAGCCAACTGGATAGTGACTGCTGGAGTGTGGTCACTCTGATAAAATGCTGCCTGACTGCTTTGCCCTCAGGACTGCTCTAGACCAGTCATGCTCAATACTGGCTGCGCTTTAGAAAGTACTTGGTTCCCCTAAAATAATACTGATTCCCAGGCTCCTGTTGGTGGAGATTCTGGCTTAACTGAGTCAGGGGCTACCACATGAGGACACTTAAAGCTAGGTGGTTCTAATCTGCAGCCAGGGTCACATTCACACCTGTATGTCACACTGTGCCATATAGTCAAACAGTTTTCCAAAAAGTTAACGGCAAAACCAGGATAATAGCATCAGGCCTGCTGACCCCCAGCCTGGAGCTCCTGGAACAAGTGGGGGTGGGGAGGGGGAATTGAAAATAGGTTGCTATTTATTTCGTGAGGTCTCAGGGTTTGCAGCTGTGACTATGGGACAGTCCTCAATGCTTGGGTCAAGTTGGAAGTGCGGAGGGCCAATTAAGGAGCTCAGAAGCCTGGCCCAGGTTATGCCTGCCCCACAGGGTCCAGGCTCCCTCTACTGGGACAGAACCTGACTCAGGGTGTCTCCCCCTAGTGCAGCAGGGCATCTTACAGGGACTCAAGGAGAGGTGAAAGGCACTGCTTGGGTGTCACTAGGGAAGACCGGAAAGAGGAGAGAATGCCTTGCTAGCTAGATAGTCCAGAAAAAGTGTCAACTAGAAAGAGAAGTAAATGGGAAAGGAGACTAGGGGCTAACCTCCAGAGACAAACAGACCAGCACCTCAGAGGGCAAATTGCTGAGCTAGCGCTGGGGGTGTGCCTGGGGACAGAGATCAGCACCTCAGAGTGGATGGAAAGCTAGTTGTGCAAGGCTGGTGAGGGATGCTAATTCCCCAAATAGGGGCCTGTCTCCTCAAAGACAGAAAGGACAACTTTAACCCTGTGGTAAGAGGTCTTGCAGCTCTAGGCTATTCTTGCAGCTGTCCCTGATTCCAACTTTCTGCCCCAAATAAACACCCCTACAGGCCTTGTTCCATCTGTGCCAGGAAACTGGCCTCCCCTTTACCCCCCAGGGCAGTACACTGCTTCCCTTCCCTCCCCCAACCTTTCTTCCCTCTGGAAACCTGGCAGTCCAGGGCAGGGCACAGGACAGGGTGTCATTCTCGCAATCACCACCAGGGACCCCACCTAGCCCTGACTTAAAACACCAATTGCCTGGCTCCCTTGCCTGGGAGGCAAGAAGACAAACACGAATCAAGATGGAGACATTTAGCGCGGGAGAGAGACTCACCGCCACTTCTGGTCCCAGGAGGAAGAAGGGCGCTGTCAGACCTGCGCTGAGTGTGTGCAAGGGAGGGAGCCACAGACCTGGCCTGAGGACGGGCATGGGGGGAGGGCTTTCCAGAGGGAGAGGCCCCGGGGTTCAGGGTTCTGATTTCACTCGTCACAGAGAAGGGGCTTCTCGGAGTCCGGCTGGTGAAGTTCTCCTATAGAGATCTGCAACAAAAGGAAACTGGACCCCAGTTCCATGGAGGCCCTGTAGGCGCATGGGGTTCGGAGCACCTACATTGAAGCAATACCCCGCCCCTTCAGGCTGAGCAACTCCATTTCCTTATTCCACGCACCTATTGCAAACTCATTTGCACACTTTTAATACCTTAGAGGTTAATTCCTGCCCCTTTGCCACAGTCTTCTCTCCTGATGAAAGCCGAAAGCCCGCATCCCTACGGATCCGCGTTGGGCACCCTGGCGCGCTCTGGGCGGCCAGCACCCGGGTTTCAGAGGCTCTGGCGACCTCCCTTGCCCCTTCCCCTCCCTTCGCTCCGCGGGTCCCCCCTGGGCTGAGCCTCGCCCCGGCCCGCACCCTCTCAGATACTGCGCGCCGATTGGCTTCTATGGCCGCTGGGCGGTGCTTAAGGTTGCTGGCCCCGGGCTGTGGCCACGCGGCCGCAGGCACCAGGCGGGCGCCCCGGAGCCCCGCGCGGGGAGTGCGGGATGCCCCGCGGGGACTCAGAGCAGGTGCGCTACTGCGCGCGCTTCTCCTACCTCTGGCTCAAGTTCTCGCTCGTTATTTACTCTACAATATTTTGGGTGAGTGACCCCCATAGGGCTCGGTTTGAGATTTTCGGGGCGCTTGCGGTGGTGGGGTCACAACCCCAGGCGGTCACAACCCCGCCTGCCCTGCCGGGTATTACCGAGTGTGGCCCCCCCTCAGCCTGTGGGAAAGTAGTCGACTTTGTGGTCTGGGCTGGGAGCCCTGGATCCTCAGTCCTGGCCCCACTGTTTACTGTTTACTTACCGATACCCCTGAGCAAGATGCTTCCCCCACTGCGCCTAGGCTTCCTCGTTGGTCAAAAGAGAATGTTCACGGCTTGTCTGTGGCTTGGTTGGGAGAATTCCACGTTGGGAAAGGTCGTTGGCTCCTCCTTGATGCTCAGTAACAATTTTCATAGCCACTGGATTTTAGCTCCTTTTGTGTCTTATTGGGATAGTACTGGCTGGAGTGAACCAGGCTTGAAATCGTGCTCCTATTGTTATAGGGCAGCCCCGATACAAAACGGGGTGCCTGACTGTGGGTCCTGACCCGCGCGCTTAAAAGGACTTATCAATGCTCTACTGCAGGCACATGCGAAAGATTAATAAAAGGTTTATTTACAAGGGAAGGGAAAATGAGGAAATGTACAGCTCTGGGAGAAAAGTGGGAGACAAAGTTTTAAATGCATCCTACCCCATCCGCCCATCTGGAATCCCAAACGGCACTCTGAGAGCTGGCCGCAGGCCAGGAGCCCTGAAGCCAGGAGGCGAGCGACAGAGCGGGAGACCCCAAGGCCCACGTGTTTGGTTTTTATACCCAACTTGGCTGCTTAACTCCACCCTCAGGTCCCAGCCACCTTTCCTTTGGTGGTGACGGGATTTGTCTTTCCCAATGTCTTGATGACTTTGGTCTTGATACCTGAATTGTCAGGCCTAGTCTCCCAGCCAGGAACAGATCCCAGGCTGCAGGGCAGTGCTGAGCCCCAGCCACTAGACCCCCACGGGTTGGTGTCTCACGAAGCCGCAACAGGAACTTCGCAGATGCTCAGGCAAGCAAGCGAGAAGAGGCAGGCTTGTTTAGAGAAAGAAAAAGTTTATTGAGGAGAAAAAGAACAGAAATAAAGTGGGACTCCCAGGCCAGGAAACCAGGCCTGGGAGAGGCGAGGAAGCCAAAATGGAGTCGTGTCTCAGGGAATATAGACCTTCTTTCCCTGATTATTCTAAAGCTCCACCAGTCTCTTTGTGATTGGTTAGTTCTCAGCTGTCTCACTTGATTTGCTACTGAGTGGGGGATCTTCACATTCCTTATCTAACAGCTTTCTCTTTCCCCATTTGTTGCATCTTTATCTTTATGGCCCAGTCTTCTGGATGGGCATCCCTGCATTGAAGTTAAACAGCTGCCCTTCTAAGCTGTCCATAAATTAAACCACTCTCCATTTCTCCAATCTCTACCTCCCTTTATCACCTGAAGGAAACCAAGGCCAGTGTTAACAATGTTGTTCTTGGTCCTGGGATGTTTGTTTTTCCAGGTGGAATTAGTTACACTCCTCTTGCTGCCCTTATCTCTGAAGCCTTCTTCAATTCTCCAAGGGATCCTCCTGCAGTGTCCCTAGAACTGCCTAATTCCTAGCTTGCCCTGTGTCTCAGTCTGGAGTGGGGATGGAGTCCACAAAGCCTGTATGGGATTAGCTCAGAACATCATTTCCCCCTAACACTACCACTTTGCAAGCTCAGTGATCTTAGGGAAGTTACAATTCTCTAGACCACAGTTTCATCTGTAAATGGAGACGGTAATTATACTCAAAGTTTAGAACGTCTGTATGAGCTATTATTTATTATCATTATCAGTATTATTATTACTAGCAGGGAAGCTAGACCCCCATGGTAAGGTGACCAAAGAGACTGGATTTCTTTATGGAAATTTCAGACTAAGCTGCATTTCTATCTAGAAATTGGGACAGCTTTCCACAGGCCTGCCCCCTGCCACTCTAGAATAGTTCCCTGTTCTCAATATGCCTCAGAGCTGACTTGCCCAAGGGACCCCAGGGGGATCCCCTACATTATCCCTCTCAAACACAATGGTCTCCTCCTTAGCCTCTCGTGGGGTCTATTCTGCTAGCAGAGCTAGATGTGCCATCAGTCCTAGTTTTCCATGTGACTGCGCTGCAGATGTGACCTTCCCTATTGATCTCGTTCCAAGAGATCCAGACTCTAACCTTTTCTGTTACTGCTCAGGGAGCTCTTAGGCAAGTCACTTTCTTCTCAGAGGGCTGAAGGTCATTAACTGACTTATCCCTCTAGGAAATTAGGCTGAGCCCAATTTTGACTCTGTGCAGTGTTTTGACTCTGTGTGATGTGGACAAGTTATGAAGTATACTTGGGCCAGAGGATGAAGCCTGGACTATAGTGAAAACCCAGAGAGACAGATAGTTGTCTGTGGGATTTGATGGGATGATTTGATTTGAGCTAACATTCTGAGAATCAACTAGAAAATTAAAAAAAAAAATCTACAGATAGATGTCTGGTCTCTAGTATAGGGGTTTATTTAAACAGGCAATTCTAGTGTGTCATTGGGGTTGAAAACTGCTGGGCAAGATGGTTTCATAGAGTCCTGGATTCTAATTCTGGTATTTTTTGCCTGTCCAAATGCTTTCCCGGCCTCCAAAGGTCAGAGTTAAAAGAGTGAAGGGTAAGGGTAATGAGTGGTATGGAGAAAGTGGGAAAATACGGGAAGACCAGGAGTCACAAGGTGAAGAATAGTCCCCACCTATTAAGTTTCTGGTTTTACCCTTTCTTCAATATGTAATTTTCTTAAAATGACATGACCTTTTTTTAAAACTCCATTTTCCTTCTGTGAAATGGACTGATATCTTGCCCCATATTGATTGATTGTTTTTAAGATTAGTGATTTGGGGACAGTGACAGGTGGACAAGCCAAGCACTATACAAAATAAAGTTATGCAGTTAAAACAAAATTTGAACTCTCAAGACCCTGTTCTGTTATTATCCCATTCTAGGGCTCCTCCTTTGCTTCTCTTAGGGCAGTGAGTCTCAGAATTTGAAACCCTTCCTCTTTAGTCATTTGAAATTGCCTTCTTAAACCCATGACTTCCTATTCCAGGAAGCATTTCTTCTCAAAAATTCCTCATCCATGCCAGGAACTGAACCACCTGCCAGGGCAGCTCCAGGTGCCAGAATTTGACTGTAGGGTGGAGGCCTGTGTGAATAAATAATTTGTCCTGGAACTCAATCACTGCTAATTGGAAATTATGACAGGAAAACCCATTAACTCAGGTGCCACCACTTCTCAGGAGGAGAGTGAGGCCAAGGGTTACTTGCTTTATTAGCCCAAAGTACTAATATTCATCTCAGTCTTTAGCTCTGGAAGGGGCCAGAAGTTTTACCATTGCTGTGTATCTTCCATAAAGTATTTTTGCTTTAAATAATATCAAATAGGATATACAAGAACATTGTACATTATTTAAAAGCACAGAAGAATAGTCATTGGTTTGAGCTTTTCTCCTGCCCCTCTGCCCTGTCCAGAAAGACCTCTTTTAGTAGCTTCTTGTAATTCTTTTTTGAGATACTATGTTAGGCAGAGGATGCCCTATGCACAAATGTAAATGCATTTTTTAATTTTTTCACATAAGGAGCACACTTTATGCAGTTCTGTTCTTATCTTTTCATTTAAGTTGAAATCCATGTAGATTTGGGTGTTCTGCTAGGAGCTGCCTCTTCTCTTCAGTGACTGCAGAGAATTCACTGGAGGCTATGCCAGCATTTCTCTGATCAGTCCCCAGCTGGGGAACTCAGGTTGTTTCCAGTGTTTAGTTACTGCCACCAGTGCTACACTGAGCATCTTTGAGTGTGTCTCTGCATGGTGATTTCTACAAGTGAAATTTGCTGGATTAAAGGGTATGTCAATGTATAATAGACATAGGAAATTTCACTATCACAAGTGTATATAGTCTGATGTTTTACAAAGTGAACACCGCTGTATAGTCAGTCCCCAGATCAACCAGCAGGATGGACAGCAGAAGCCAAAAGCCCCCATTGTGCCCTCTTCCAGTCACAACCCCTTCCAGCTGTGATTGCTGTTGGGACATCTGCTGGCATAGAGCAGCTTTGCCTGGTTTTGTATGTGCATTTAAAACTTGGATAGATTTTGGTAAATGGCCCTACATGGAAGTTATGCCAATTATGTTTCTTTTGATGGATTTTAAAAACATATTTATTTTAAAAAAGAGACTTCATGTCACTACCTTCAATGGGAAATCAGTATTTCCTCATCAAAAAAAAAAAAGCAGTTTACTTATTAAATCCTATTTAGACATTGTGATCCTGAAGGATCCTCCTTTGTTAAAAAGCTGGTTAACAAGTATTTGAGAAGCTTAAAGACAAACTGGCGCCAAAACCAGATTTGTTTCTTGATGCATTGGAAGGATCAAGGGGAAATGAGCAGTGAAAACTCATCCCAGTCTTATGAGTCAGTTTGAATATGACCTTGAACCACTTATGATGCTTTCCTCTCCCTCACTTGGGGGACCCTGGGTGGATGTGTTTCAGGGTCACCCAGCAGAGCTGGCATACCCCGCCCCCACTACCTCATTCCCAGCTCTAAGTTCCTTCCAGTAGGTCGCTGAAGCTGTTTCCAGGAGAAATGAGCTCACCCAGAGGCACCTGGAGTCTCCTCTTTCCACCAGGCAGGGTGAATCACTCTGACACATGTGCCCTCAGCCCACTGGGGACACACCTCTAATTTTAGCACTGACCACAGGGTATCCTAGAGATCCGTTTACATGACTACTTTTCCTTGCTGGGTTGTGGGCTCCTGGAGGTCAGGAGAGTAGCTGATTGCTAGCCTCTTACAAATGCTGGGGCTGGGGTTGCTGCACTGTGGTGGTCGAGCACCACTGGGTCTTACTAGCAAGGATCTGAGATGGAGGCTTCTGGCTCAGCACATGAGCTGGATATATAGCCTGCACTGGTCAGATTTGCCGAGGCCTTGAATTTACAAAGTGGGCTGTGCTGATGATGTGGCCACTGGCTCTTAGAAA